AAAAAAAAAAAAAAAAAAAAGTCATAAAACTCTATCAGTCTCTTCAAATCTTTTAAAACAAGGAATACAATATTGTTTATATTAATGTACTATATATATTTATATTTCTTTAAAAAATTCTGTTGCATTTAGAATTTAATAATGTGTGCCTTGGAAGGTTTTAGTACTCCACTGGGATAATGAACTGTTATTTTTAATAACTTATTCCATCAGTAATTAATAACCGCAGGCTATTTTGAATCCTTATAGTCACTCTTGGAGGCCCATGATATTGTGGCATCAAAATGTTATGATTCACCTCCATCAAGCCCAGAAATGAATAATTCTTCTATCAATAATCAGTTATTACCAGTAGATGCCATTCGTATTCTTGGTATTCACAAAAGAGCTGGGGAGCCACTGGTGAGTAGATAAATAGTGCCGTTTAAAATCTGAAATCTGACATATTTGTGGCTCAGTCATATCTTTTTTTCTTTTTCATAATTTGTATTATTATAAAAAACTTCATGTTTATTTTATCAGTGTTTTTTTGGCTTGTATAGAAATACACAACTGATGCTCTCTTAACTTAATATAGCATACAGAATTAAGCCAAAATAAAATGTTAAGCTGAAATAGAGGCCAGAAGAAGTTTGCTAATGGGCAGGAAAAATTACAGAAGATAACTATTCCACTTCTTCCTGTACCCTTTGAAGAAATAAGCTCAAGTTGCTTGCTAATGATAGTATCAAAACAAAAGAAAGTTATTAAGAATTGAAGCATGGTAGGACTCTATAAGTAGTGAAGTTTTCTGTTCCCTGCTAAAATTATTATTTCTGGGTCCTGACTGTAAGAAAAAAAGAAAAGCTTGGAACAAGGCCATCAGAATGCATAAATACTTTTTCTTCTCCTTTGAACTTTTTATCCTGTGGAATGCAATTCCCATGGAAGTCCTATTTTTATGGGGTGGTATATGTCATCACAGTTGCCTATGGTTTAATGAGATTAAAATATTGAGACAGAGAACAGAGGAAAAGTAGGAAAAATTAACTCACCTACTTTTAGAATTATTTTCTTGTATATACATATTAATGAATATTTAAGATTTCTTCCTAATAATCTAAAATCAGTGATAATTCTGTTTTTTTATTTCCTTTAGGGTGTAACATTTAGGGTCGAAAATAATGATCTGGTAATTGCCCGAATCCTTCATGGAGGAATGATAGATCGACAAGGTCTGCTTCATGTGGGAGATATCATTAAAGAAGTCAATGGTCATGAGGTTGGAAACAATCCAAAGGAATTACAAGAATTACTGAAAAATATTAGTGGAAGTGTCACCCTAAAAATTTTACCAAGCTATAGAGATACTGTAACCCCTCAACAGGTTAGTAATAAAATTCTTGGTAATATTAAGAATACTTTCATTTCTTTAATCACACTGTTGAATATAACCACTACTTGCTCCTCTTTTGCTGAAGAAGAGTGGAAAAACCTATGATTTAAGTGTTCCGAATTGCCTTATTTTGTCATGGGTGAATTTTTGAATTTTGAAACTATTAGCACTGTCTTATTAGGAAGGAATACCAAATGTCTTTGTGAACACTGTGAACCCTAGCATTACAGTAACTTACAGCTAGGTATCTGAAAAATCATAAAGCCTTTTAGTCATTAATCTGGCAAACACTTTTGGCACCTGTTATGTTCCAGGCATTGTATTAGGCCCTGTGAGAAGATAAGAATATAGCTCCAAATACCTCTTGCTTAGTGTTCATGTGATGAGCTGTATGGGGAATGAGGTAAGAAAGGGAGGATGGGTGTATAGATTGAGAAAAATCTTGAATACCTGGATTGTACACATTTGATCTGATTTTTATAACTAATTTTTAGGTAAAGTAGATTATTGAACCGGGTAATGTTCTAATGACAGTGATCATCTAGTTTCATCATGTTGAGTGAATTTCCAAAAGGAGAGAAGTGATATCTGATATCCTGTAACCAGGAAGCAAAACTTTGGAGGTGTGAGGTGATTTCTGAGAGGCAACTCTAAAAGAAGGTTAACACTGTTTGGGTTCAAATACCAATGCTACCACTTACTAGCTTAGCCTTTCTGTGCTTCATTGTCTCATGTATATAGTTAGGGATAATATTTCTTTTCTCAGAAGATGTTATGAGGATTAAATGATTTAATTCATGTAAAACTCTCTTAGCAGTGCCTGGCACATGGCACTCAAAAAGTAGCTGCTGCTGTTGTCATGATGGTGGTGATGAAGTAGTGATGGTATAATAGAATTGTAAAGAAAGAAATGTAATAAAGTAATTGCAGAAAAAGATTTGGCAATCATAGTGGGAGTGTTGGAACTGAGGAGAGGGTTTAAAGGCCTAGATAATGTATAAATAGGAAATATCAGTGTTTTAGATTGATACCTTTAATTATTCAACTTCATTTCACAAATTTATTGTTTCATGGGTAAGTGAAATGATAAGTTTTTACATAAGATACTGCCAGTGATCTTATTTTCAATATGAGAACTTAGAAGTCTAGTTTTCATATTTCCATACAATTCTTTTAAAAAACATATGTTGATTACCTGTTTTACATAGTTCTTTGAAGGATAGGATAAAATGTATACATTTTTTTTAAGTTTTTATTTTAATCACCTGGTGTTCAGCATGACAAGTGCCCTCCTTAATCCCCATCACCTATTTCACTCATCTCCCTACCCACCTCCCCTCTGGTAACCACCAGTTTGTTCTCTATATTTGAGTCTGTTTCTTGGTTTCTCTTTCTCTTTTGTTCCTTTTGCTTGTTTTGTTTCTTAAATTCTACATATGAGTGAAATCATAAGGCATTTGTCTTACTCTGACTGACTTATTTCACTTAGGATTATACTCTCTAGCTCCGTCCATGCCATTGCAAATGGCAAAATTTCATTCTTTTTTATGGCTGAATAATATTTCATTATATATATGTATATATGTGTGTATGTGTACCACGTCTTCTTTATCCATTCATCAATCGATGGACACTTGGGCTGCTGCCATACCTTGGCTATTGTGAATAATGCTGCTGTAAACATAGAGGTGTCTGTATCCTTTGCATTGGTGTTTTTGTATTCTTTGGGTAAATATCCAGTAGTGCAATTGCTATCATAGGGTAGTTCTATTTTTAACTTCTTGAGGAACTTCCATACTGTTTTCCACAGTGGCTTCACCAGTTTGCATTCCCACCAACAGTGCAAGAGGGTTCCTTTTTTCCACATCCTCATCAACACTTGTTTCTTGTATTTTTGATTTTAGCTATTCTGACAGGTGTAAAGTGCTATTTCATTATAGTTTTGATTTGCATTTCCCTGATGATGAATGATATTGAGCATCTTTTCATGTGTCTGTTGGCCATCTATGTTTTCTTTGGAGAAATGTCCATTTTTTTTAATTGGATTATTTGGTTTGGGGTGGTTTTATAAGTTCTTTATGTATTTTGGATACTAACCCTTTATTGAATGTGCCATTTGCAGATATCTTCTCCCATTCTGTAGGTTGCCTTTTAGTTGTGTTGATGGTTTCCTTTGCTGTGCAGAAGCTTTTTATTTTGATGGAGTCCCAATAGTTTAGTTTTGCTTTTGTTTTCCTTGCCTTAGGGGACCTATCTAGAAAAAAGTTGTTATGGCCAATGTCATGTGCTCTTTCCTGGGATTTTTATGGTTTCAGGTCTCACATTTAGGTCTTTAATCCATTTTGAATTTATTTTTGTGTGCCGTGTAAGAAAGTGGTCATTTTCCCGTAACCATTTGTTGAAGAGACTGTCTTTTTCCCATTGGATATTCTTTCCTGCTTTGTCAAAAGATTAACTGACTATATAATTGTGGATTTCTTTCTGGATTTTCTATTCTGTTCTATTTATCTATGCATCTGTTTTTGTGCCAGTACCATACCGTTTTGATTACTACACCTTTGTAATATAGCATGAAGTCTGGAATTCAGATGCATCCAGCTTTGCTTTCCTTTTTCAGTATTACTTTGGCTATTTAGGGTCTTTTGTGGTTCCATATAAATTTTAGGATTAATTGTTTTAGCTCTGTGAAAAATGCTGATGGTATTTTGATAGGGATTGCATTAAATGTGTAGATTGCTTTGGGTAGTATAGACATTTTAACAATGTTTTTTCTTCTAATTTGTGATATGGAATGTCCTTCCATTTCTTTATATCATCCTTAATTTCTTTCATCATTGCTTTATGGTTTTCAGAATACAGGTCATTCACCTCTGGCTAGGTTTATTCCTAGGTATCTTATTAATTTTGGTGCATTTGTAAATGGGATTATTTTCTTAATTTCTCTTCCTGCTGCTTCATTATTGGTGTGTAGAAATACAACAGATTTCTGTAGATTTATTTTGTATCCTGTGACTTTACTAAATTTCTTAATCAGTTCTTGCAGTTTTTTGTTGGAGTCTTTTGGGTTTTCTTTATATAGTATCATGTCATCTGCAAAGAGTGAAAGTTTGACTTCTTCCTTGCAGATTTAATTTTTGTTGTCTGATTGCTGTGGCTAGGTCTTCCAATACTATGTTGAATAAAGGTGGTGAGAGTGAACATCCTTGTTTTGTTCCTGATCTTAGGGGAAAGGCTCTCAGTTTGTCACCACTGAAGATGATATTAGCTGTCTTTTCATATATGGCCTTTATTATGTTGTGCTATGTTCCTTCCAAACCTACTTTGTTGAGGATTTTTATCATGAATGGATGTTTTACTTTGTCAAATGCTTTTACAGTGGCTGTTGAAATGATCATATGGTTCTTATCCTTTCTTATTGATGTGACGTGTCATGTTGACTGATGTGTGAATATTGAACCACTCTTGCAACCCAGGAATAAATCCCACTTGGTCGTGGTGAGTGATTTTATTAATGTATTGTTGGATTTGGTTTGCTAGTATTTTGTTGAGGATATTTGCATTTATGTTCATCAGAGATCTTGGCCTGTAGTTCTTTGGCCTGTGTTGTCTTTATCTAATTTTGGTATCAGGGTAATGCTGGCATTACGGGGTGAATTTGGAAGTTTTCCTTCCTTTTCTCTTTTTTGGAATAGTTTGAGAAGAATAGATATTAACTCTTCTTTCAGTGTTTGGCAGAATTTGCCTTTGAAACCCTCTGGTCTTGGACTTTTGTTTGTTGGGAGTTTTTTAATTATTGATTCAATTTTGTTGCTGGTAATTGTTCAAATTTTCTATTTCTAATTTTCTATTTTTTCCTGCTTCAGTTTTGGTCGGTTATATGTTTCTAGAAATTTATCCACTTCTTCTAAGTTGTCCAGTTTGTCAGCATATAATTTTTCTTAATATTCTCTTATAATTGTATTTTTGTGGGGTTTATTATTATTTCTCCTCTCTCATTTGTGATTTTATTTGGGTCTTTTCTCTTTTTTTCTTGATAAGTCTGGCTGGTGGTGTATCAGTTTTATTGTTTTTTTGTTTTTGTTCTTTTTGGTTTTTTGAAGAACCAGCTCCTGGTTTCATTGATCTATTGTTTTTTTAGTTTCTATATCATTTATTTCTGCTCTAATCCTTATTATTTCCTTCCTTCTTCTGATTTTAGGTTTTGTTTGTTCTTTTTCTAGTTCCTTTAGGTGTAACATTAGGTTGTTTATTTGAGATTTTTCTTCTTGAGGTAGGCCTTTATTGCTGTAAACTTACTCTTAGAAATGCTTTTGCTGCATCCCAAAGGTTTCATACCATTATGTTTTCATTTTCATTTGTTTCCATGTATTTTTAAATTTCTTCTTTGATTTCCTGATTGATCTATTCATTGTTTAGTATCATATTATTTAACTTTCGTGTATTTATAGTATTTCCAGGTTTTTTCTTATGGTTGACGTCTAGTTTTATAATAGTGTGGTCAGAAAAGATGCATGGTATGACTTTGATTTTTTTTAATTTGTTGAGGCTTGTTTTGTGGTCTAATATGTGATCAGTTCTGGAGAATGTTCCCTGTGCACTTGAATAGAATGTGTATTCTTCTGTTTTAGGGTGGAAATTCTGAATATATCTGTTAAATCCATCTGGTCCATTGTGTCACTCAAAGCCATTGTTTTCTTGTTGATTTTCTGTTTAGATGATCCTTCCATTGATGTAAATGGGGTGTTAAAGTCCTTTACTATTATTGTGTTATTATCGATTACTTCCTTTATGTTTGTTATTAACTGTTTTATGTATTTGGGTGTGCCCATAGTGGGTGCATAAATACTTAAAATTGTTATATCTTCTTGTTGGGTTATCTCTTTTATTATTCCATAGTGCACTTCTTTGTCTCTTGTTATAGTTTTTGTTTTAAAATCTTTTGTCCAACGTAAGTATTGCTACTACCACTTTTTTCTGACATCCATTTGCAT